ACTGTAACTATTGAAAATATAATCTATTTTATTTGTTCTTGTTTCTGTAGGTGCATATCTTTTACCATATTTAATACTACTTCTGGTAATAGGTATTCCCCTTTTTTTCCTGGAACTTTCTGTGGGTCAAAGAATTCGGCGAGGCAGCATTGGTGTGTGGAATTACATAAGCCCTAAACTGGGCGGGATTGGATTTGCAAGTTGTGTAGTAAGTGGTGTATGCTTATAATCTTTACAAGGTTTGAAATGATATGATTTACATTTAAATAAAACCTCTGAGTGTGTGTTTCTATACAACTCTAACAAAACAAGCTGTAAATATTGATACAGTGTTTTGTAGTTCTCTCTGTATATGTCTCTCACCTCTTTCGTTAAATATATACCTGCACCACATGTACTTGCCATCAAACTGGCACTGACCGATCAACACTAAGGTGTTCACACGGTAGTAATATTCTTTGGGGGTAGAGGGGATGGGGGTGGGTAAACTCACAACTAATGGATGTGGTGAGCATTGTGGCGAGGAAAGGGCATGTCTCAAATCATGGTTGGGATGTGGCAAAGTCATAACATGTAACCAAAATGTTTGTACCCCCATAATTTCTTGAAATAAGAAAAAATATTGATATAGCAAAATCTTGTCAATGTATGTTCTAAGGCCTATGAGAGATACTACCTTTTAGACCCAAGATAATGTGTTTGAATAAAAAAAAATAAAATAAGAAGGATTTTAAAAATGTTAAGTGGAGTTTTATGCATTTCATCTCATTGTTTTAAATGACAAAACCTGAGAGTTTTAATGGAATCCCATCATTTTATTTTGCAGGTGTGTTTTTTTGTGGCTCTCTACTACAACGTCATCATTGGCTGGAGCTTGTTTTATTTTTCTCAGTCTTTTCAGCAACCTCTACCTTGGGATCAGTGTCCTTTGGTGAAAAATGCTTCACATACTCGTAAGACTTATACAAAGTAGTTGTAGTGTTTTTTGTATTTAAAGATCATAGGAATGGTAAAGGCAGAAGCTTTCAAGATTTTTTTAAATGATATGGAAAAATCATTCAAAATTATCATCATAACAGACTTTCCTCACTTTTAGGATTGGCGCACTCTGAGAGATAGACTTTTGGGACCATTTAAGTTTTCTAAGTCTTTCCAAATTACTTTATTGTGCCTTATGTTATTAGGGTAAAATATTGCAAGGCTTCAGTTATTAACTTTTGACAATCTTTTATTTTGTACACCCTGATTGATGCCTTACATTTTCATTAAAGCCAACAAAAAGGGGGCAGAGGGAAGAATTTGAATCAAAATAATTGCTTTTATGTCTTTGGTTCTGTTGCTTTATAGTTTTCTCATCATTTTTTTAAAAATCCTATGATGTAAATGAAAAGTTTCCTATAGTAGTGATGTCCAGTAAACATCGACTGCAACTCACACGTACAGTTTAAATTTTTCTACTAGACATGTTTAAGAAAAG